CGTCTTCTTAGGAAGTATAGAGCTCAGGAATATAAACATAACATTCCAGTTGTTGGGTTTGACCATGCCTCCTTCCGTTTGGGAGACGAACAATCGGTGCTCCATCTCGCCATTGAAGAAAGGGCCATGAGAATGATGATAACAAATGCTACTGGAAACAAACCAAAACCTGACATATACTCCAACGCACGGGAAACTGTTGAAAAAGAACTGTCAACTCTTAAGGACACGTACTGTCCCAGTATGCAGTTAGGCTTTTGCATTCGGTTAAATGACAAAGGAAAAGATATTCCAATAAAAGCAGAAGACGTCCAAGAAAACGATGAGATATGTAGATCTGTAGAGGGCACTGAAATGCCAATCGATGTGACACCGTATCGTGTTTGGTTTTCAGGTAAGCATTAAAATTTTAGGTAGTTTTACTGTGAACAGACATTATGTTCCTGAATATAATTAGGGGTAATGTAGTCATTGAAATCGGTGATACTTAAACTGATGTAAATGCAACTAATCATATTGGGTGATGTACTATGATGTACATGAAGAGAATTAATATTTCAAATTGTTGCCAATAAACCAAACTTTATATATTTTAAAACAATGTAACTTGATAAATACCCAAAGGTGTTTTTTATAATCCCCGAAAATGATATCTTTGCAGATCTTATCAGCATTTTTCCCCTTGGCAAATTTTGCACATCGCCTTTGTTAGAACAGTATAAATATCACCCACAAAATCATGCAATTTATATTTTAATCATTCCAACAATACGAGCTTTACATGGGCATCAACGTCTGTGTGAGGGTAAGACTGTTGCAATTGAACATTTTTCATATAAACTGTCCCATATTAGATTTATTACCCAGCCATGCACATCGCTAGAATTGTTTTAACTTTTAATTTAAAAACAAATGCCCAAGCACATCGCTAGAATTGTATGACAAAAATAAATATTATGCCCTGGTCGTATTTTGAGAATTTACCTGCAGTGCAGAAGGTAAATGTACAGCAGGTTACCTTTTGCTCACAACACATATCTATTAATAAGTTTCTTCATACTTAAATTACATGTATATTATTAATTGCTAATTATGGTTCATCATGCGCATATTCTTGTAATCCTTCTTATTTTTACAGATAGTGCACAGGCAGTACAAACAAGTGATCCAGGTAATTTTGTATTTGGTAGTGCTTAGCTTAGGCTAAGAAGTACGCGCATTATTCTTATTTTAACTTCTATTTTTTTTACTTTTAACTTACAAATCTTCAATATAAAGAAATAGCATATATTGTTACTAGCATGTACCCCCTGTTCATATGACAGTACATTTTACTGACTACATATTTCTCCCATAATGCAGTGGTGGTTGCCGTATATTTTACACAAACACACACACACACACACACACACACACACACACACACTAGTATACTACTCTATCTCTCTTTCCCTATAAAATTCTTGTACAAAAAGCATTGATCATTATCATATTTTTCTATTAATAGGTGCGAATGCCCCAGATGCGTCATCTATTTATACACAGAGGTTTGCAAGGGTGAGTTATCTCGTTATTGAACTTGGAACGAAAGTCATTAGAACTTTCTTCCTCAAGGATGTTGTTAGGCCTAGCATCACTAATGGTGAGCACATCAGTGATAAAGATGCAGTGCTTCAGTTTTTTGGTAAGCATGATGTGAAAATTGAACTTAAGAAACTCAAGAAAACAAAAGTCATATATGCTTCTCAGTGGACTCTGTTGTACCCTGCCTCTGGTCATACAGATGTGGAAACGTTTGACATTACATTGCTGGTGTTATTGATAAGAAAACTTCACCCAGACAAAGCCAACCTGAAATGGTCAGCCCCCCAAAAAAATGCCACTTTACCTTCCTCTCCACAAACAACACAAGGTTTCATTGACCACATCCAACGGCTTAAAAATGTCAGGAACTATATACAGCATTCCGCCAAGTATGAGATCCAAGACATGGAGAAATTCTACACGAATTGGGAAATTGCCTGTGCTTCTGTTCTAGCACTTGGTGCAGATCCAAATGAAGTGGAAAAGGCACAGAAATCCATCTTTAGCATACAGGAGATAGATACAATAGTGTGTGAAATACGCAGCTCGGCCGAAGATAACAAACGGCATTTCAACAACAGATTTGACAGGCTTGAATTATTAATATTCTCTGTATGTGCCATCCTCATTGTGTTAGCCATAAATGACAAGAAGTGGATTTAGGTGGGGAAGGGGTCAGGGGGATCCTGGTTTCTGAAAAAAATCACACTAGTATTCCCCTTTTGAAATTAGAATTTTGACTAGCTGAATTATAGTTCTAAATAGAACCAAATGATACCATTCGCCCTATAAAGTATCAAAATTTTTCGGGGCCTAAAGTGGGCCTTTGAACCCCATGCCAGGGTGGTGTGGCTTGGCATACGCGCCCCTCCTCCTTCAAATAACTCTGGATCTGCCCCTAAATTACCGTAAGTGAAAGGGCGAGTTGAGGTCCTTCTTAAGTTGTACATGTACGTGGCATATGTGGATGGTCCAATTTCAGATTGAACCTTCGAATTTTCACCCAGTAATATTAAACACAATTAAAGCCTAGATTACATTTACACAGGCGCCGTGTGATGAAATTGTCTGTACGATTTTTTTTTTATGTACAGACACAGATGTGTCTGTACATATAGCCATCATCTGCGTCTGTCGTCGCCGTCGGTGCCGTCGTCGCCGTCATCGCCGTGCACTTTTACCGAGAACACGATAAGTGGAAAACCATTTTACCTTTTGACTTGAAACTTGCAGAACTGATGAATATTCATAATACACAGGTCAAGTTAGAAAATCAGCATGATCGGATCACTTTTAGGGAATTTATGCTGTTTTTTCACTTTCATAAATGCAGCACCGATAACACGATAAGTGGAAAAACATTTTACCTTTTGACTTGAAACTTACAGAACTGATGAATATTCATAATACGCAGGTAAAGTTCGAAAATCAGCATGATCGGGTCACTTTTAGGGAATTTATGCTGTTTTTTCACTTTTTTCAGCATATATGCAGCACTGATAACACGATAAGTGGAAAACCATTTTACCTNGGTTGAATTTGCAGTAAAGCATAATGTACTTTTGCATCAGAATTGACAGTAACCTGTTTTGTGCATTGTTATTGTCTGCTTTTTGTCTGTACATTTGACAGCTTTGCTGCCTTGTTTTTTTTTACAGTTCTAATGTTGTTTAGTAATGAATGTAACAGTTTGAGAACTGTTTTTGGGAAGTCCTTCAGAATGTACTAGAACAGATTAAGAACATTTTTCATTAAAAGAGAAAAACATTATGTTCTAGGACAGATTGAGACTTGTAAGTGAGCATTAAATGAGACAAATTTTCATAGGGGCAGGCCTCCCCTCCGCCACCCCACCCCTCTACCCTCTAATGGCTCAATCCACAGGAAGAAGATTGATCAAAGAAAAAGTTATTACTGATATATACCATTTCAGTGAGCTTTAGAGGGATAACAACTCTTTGTATGAGATTCATATTTCATAATAAATACATTGTAAACAACTCATAGAATTATAATAAATTCTGTTTTACCACCAAAACTTTCTTTAGAGATTATCCCAAAAAATGCCCTGTTAAGTTTTAAGAAAAAAAATCAGGGATTAATTTTGAATATTGAAATGGATTGGGGAGTATGGGAAGTTGTCATTTACCTAGGAAAATCCTTTTTTTTTTTCCTAAAAATAAAAAGTTGTTATCCCATTGATATGTCAATATCCCAATGGCTTTGCATGTTTTACTAGTGTGTGTGGGAAGACTGAGTGGGACAGTTAATTATTCTAGGAACTTAGATACAACAATTCCATGCTGTGCCCACTCTAAATTTTTTTGTGTGTGTTAGCTCCGAGGTTTTCTAATTGATTAGCTGCTCACTGAGCTTACTATATAGGAGGAAAGTAGGCTGTTAGGAAATTGGATTACATGTATAAGGATGGTCTTATTGGTGTGCTACACTACATTAATACTAAGACACCGTGGGCCCATTCAGATAGACACATCATACTATAGTTGGGTCGGTCCAAGTTGGGATTCTCACTAAGAGCAATCAGTGGAATCAGTGGAATTGGCTTGTCTGCCATGTACATCTCCTCAAGCAGCTAGGGGGTGATTAAGCAGAGCTTACACAAAAGTTAATTACCCCCTAACTGCTCAAAGAGGCTGTCATTTAGATAAACTCATTATACTTAGCAAGAGACCCCACCTCCCCCTTCCTCCCAGAGTTGGCCCAACCCAACTAATATGATGCGTATATCTGAACGCTCCCTAAATCTGCCCATTTTTCTCAATAGCAATTTCACCAAATAATTGACACATCAAATTGTGCTTATTGAGATGCTTGACTTCATTTTTAAGATTTATGTGGTTTGTTAAGAGGACAAACCACAGAAAGTGAAACAGAAATATTATATTATATTGTAAATGTTGAAGGCAAAATGTTCTCAAGACATAGATTTGGGGCCCATTTTCAATGAAACTATGATTCTGCACAGGAACTCTTGCTGAATGCAATCAGATTAACTGCTGAAAGCGTGCCATCTAGTTTCCAAAGTACTCGTGTAATCACCAGCTTTTCTGTTTTCTACTCAATGCTAGGAGGAGGAGTTTCAGTGGGAGTGGACCTTAAGTTGGTTAGTTTCTTATTTTAAATTTATTATTAATAATTTTTTGTCTGACAGTAAGTTCAGGCCAGTAAAGGGCATGAGTAATAAGCCCAGCTGGAAAAACTACAAAATATGACTGTTTATGTACCCCCCTATGGGTAACTGGGATCCAGGTTTAAACAGTAAAGCTAGATAACCAATGGACAGAGGCCAAGTGTAATTATCAATAATATACCCAGTACGTATAGGTTAATTGACATTGATATAAACATATTCCTTCTTTCTCCCTTCTCTCTCCTTTGCAAACTGAACAGTTTATGGAAGATCAAGCCAGATTTAGATGATCTTGCCAGGGACAGCACTTCTGAAAATACTTTGTAAGGAAAGTTTTTTTTTTAAATTGAAGTCATCAAACTGCCACTATGGGAGGACCTCTGATGAACATAATGCTTCCTGCCATTGATATTAATATTGTCAAGTGAATGGGAAGAACAAATAATGTCACACAAATGAAGTTCCATAATTTTTATAATTGATGTATTTTTCTTTTCCAATTTTGCTGGGAAAATTCGTACATGCCTATATGCATTTTCTATAAGAGTTTTTTTTTCTGAGGTGTTATGTGCAGTCAATTAAGTGATTCCACATCAATCAACATTTTTTTATTATTTCTGGATATTTCATATCAATATGTTATCAAGACTCTTCATGTCTGTGACTCTGTGGTAGTGTGGGCTGAATGGTGCATTAAGGTCAGGTGTGAATTCATGACCAAGACAAATCAGAAAGAGATAACGGAGGTGTTTATTATTTCAAACACTTTTTACCTGTTGAGCTGTTGATAAAAGTACAAGTAAATGAGAACTATCATATATGTGAATATAATGTGTGGTTGAGTGTAAGCTAGTTTGTGGACAAAAGATCTGTGAAGAAACACAGGTGTAAATGACCAAGACAAATCAGAAAGAGACAGTCAACTTGAAGGTGTTTATTATTTCAAACATGTTTTTTCCTGTGATTATAGTACTTGCAAATGAGAACTATGTTAATATTATACGTGGTTATGTATGAGCTAATTTGTTGACAGATGATCTGTGAAGAAACAGGTGTGCATGACCGATACAAGTAAGAAAGGGATAGTCAAGGTGTTTATTATTTCGAACATTTTTTTCCTGTAGTGCTGTTGATTATAGTACTAATAAACAAAAACGATATAAATATTATGTGTGATTTTTGTATAAGCTAATTTGTGGACAGAAGATGTGAGGAGAAACACAGGTGTGAATGACCAAGACAAATCAAATCAGAAAGAGATAGTCAAGGTGTTTATTATTTCGAACATTTTTTTTTCCTGTAGTGCTATTGATTATAGTACCAGTAAATGAAAGTATGTGAATATTATGTGTGGTTGTGTATAAGCTAATTTGTTGACAGAAGATCTGTGGAGAAACACAGGTGTGAATGACCAAGACAAATCAGAAAGAGACAGTCAACTTGAAGGTGTTTATTATTTCGAACATTTTTTTTCCTGTGGTGCTGTTGATTATAGTACTTGTAAATGAGAACTATCATGTTAATATTATATGTGGTTATGTATAAGCTAATTTGTTGACAGATGATCTGTGGAGAAACACAGGTGTGAATGACCAAGACAAATCAGAAAGAGTTAGTCAAGGTGTATATTATTTTGAACATTTTTTTTCATGTGGTGCTGTTGATTATAGTACTATAGCTAGTAAATGCTAATTTATATAGCTATAAATAAGCTAATTATTTGACAGATGATCTGTCAAGAAACAGATAAAATCAAAATAACTATAATTAAGGTCCTCATCAAGGTAATAAATTGCTTTTTTTTTAAATCTATGGCACCGTTTCTGGTTAAAGAGAGTTCTATGTGCGTGTAGTGTGCTTGTGTAGGCTGGTTGTGATGGCAAAGGACAGTGAGGACAACTCACAATGCATGCACTGTGTGGTAACGAAATAGATTCTAATTTGATTTCTGGTTTTCTATTTAAGGCGTTGACTAGTGAGGTAGTGATTGTGTATTTTACCTTAGCTGGGTATATTGATCTGGAGTTATCAGCGATGGAGACTGTGGTGCATTATGAAGGTAGCAGCAGTTTTCATAGATATACGTGTATATTTATAAATTAAATTGAGCTGAATGATGTATATGTAGTTCTTTTAATTGCTAAATAGTTCATATTTGAAAGTGATTATATATTTTAGTTGTAGATTTTGCGGTGTAATAAGCTATATTGCATCCTGGCAGTGCTCTGGTTTTCTTGCTTTAGTGGTTCCCAATAATGGTTGAAACTACCGGTACTGTTTGTGATTGAGTTAATCATTGACAGATATGAAATGTTCCATTAAGATAGAAACTGTTTCTGCCTTTAAACAATCTAGATGATTGTTTTTTCTTGTAGTCCCCAAATAAGTGGTTATGCACTAAATGAATTTGATAAGAAGGTTTACTCAAAAGTTTTAATAGGATTAATAGGATAGGGCATATGTTGCAGCCAACATTCAAGCAATTTCTTGCCTAATGTGTAATTATCTGATTTACCCTTTGGAATTATTTAAATTGTAAAATCTCTTGGAGTATGATTAATGTTGCCATATTTACGTTCTTTCAATTTGAAAATGAATGAGTGTTAAT